CCTTAATTTGAGACTGGGTTCACACGTATGTTTCCCCTAATTCACTCAAACTTGGCTCTGATACCAACTTGTAACATCCAAAAATTTTACGCCAAATTTAAACTTTTTCAATCATAAATAAAACCAAATAGTAATTGTTTACAAAAATGTTTTCAATCATTATTCATCAGAGTGTCCCAATAACCAAATCATAAGGATGATGAGCGGTACGATCACGCCTTCGCCTTGTCATTACCTCCTGAAGTACCTGAAACAATAAACTGAAAACTGTAAGCCCGAGGGCTTAGTGAGTTACCCCCAAAATACCAACACCACACTGATAAAACCATAACCGTAATAATCAATCAATCATCATGCATACTGGGCCATCGGCCTGACTGGACCGCCCTACAGGGCCTTCAGTCCAACTGAATCTATACCGAGCTTTCGGCATGAATGGACCGCCACGTGGGCCTACAGTCTTCCCGGACCGCTCATAGGGTGTGTTGGCCTTCAGGACAAAGCAGGACCGCCTCAACTCAAGCAACAAGCAAATAACCATGTGCGCATAACTAACATTTACTGGCATATACAAACAACGAACATATTTATCTCACTGATTACCAAACATAGCAATCTCTCATAACTAGAGCACTGACCTAACAGGTCACTAACATATCAATCCCTACGGATCATAAAAGCATAACATACTGTCTATCCTGATTCTGATCTAACATATCATATCCACATGTAGCATACCATAACGATAACAACTGAAAAGGGCCGGCCTTGGTGCCTTAGACCCTATCGATATAGTGAGGATAACTCACCTTGCAGATGTCGACTCGGTAGATAAACTTCAACCCTCGGATCACTGCTACAAACTCCACCACCTATTACCATAGTATAATCATACCCATAAGCCAACTAATCAATCCTCGTCAAAGTCAAAGTCATTAGTCAAGGTCAACAGTCCATGTTGACCTCGACTCGCCGAGTACCCCCGGCTACTCGCCGAGTTCCTTGAAGTACTAACCCACTCGCCGAGTCACCTGAGTGACTCGTCGAGTTCCTTTGGTTTACGATCGAGACCCTAAGGCCACTTGTCGAGCTTCCTTCCTGCAACTAGACAGTTACTCGCGCATACATAAGTTGGGGCAACCTCATCCGACTCGCCGAGTTGTTCATCCACTCGTCGAGTCTACAATAATCTTCATTGGACTCGCCGAGTTGTTCTTCCAACTCGTCGAGTTCATGCCTATCTTCATATGACTCGCCGAGTCGACCATGCAACTCGCCGAGTGCCTTCAGCCCTTTTTGCCATACAGACTCATTTGAGCCATGCAGCGGCTCCAAACTACAGATCCAAGCTTCTAAGGCATGCTTTTCACGTAAAGTTGCAAACTTTACGTGCATGCATAGCTACAAAGGCTCTTAATGTCAAATCCAAGCTTATAATGGGGGTTTCATACTCAAAGAGGTTTCATACATGACCCAAATCGGAGCTTTATGACCCTAGAACCCAAGAAGGTTACAGATCTGAAGTTACAACTTCAGATCTAGCTCATATCCCACATTACCATCTTAACCAAACCATAAAAACCCTAGATCTCAACCAAAAGAGGTCTAGAAAGGAAAAGGAGAAAAGGTGATGACTTGATACCTCCAAATGATGCTATGTGAGGTAGATTTCTGATTTCCCACACTTCGTTGCTCCTAGCCTTTTGTTCCCCAAGCTCCTCTTCTCAAAAGATCTCCTCTCCAAAGCTTTACACACACAAGAATGACACACCACACGAATTAGGGTTTTCCGAGTTCTCAAAGGACTGCAAAGAGGCCAAAGGAGGCTTATGCTTCCTTAAATAGGGTGCAAAACCCAGGGATTTAGGGTTTCCTCTGCCAGCTCCTACTCGTCGAGTAGGTCACTAAACACGCGTACCAAACCCGTTGCTACTCGACGAGTAGGGCAACCAACTCGTCGAGTAGGCCTTGAAACCAATTAAATTCTTATTTAAACAATACTTGAGAATCGGGGCGTTACATGAATGAACGAGGAGTAGCTGATTCTTAGGGTAAATCCTTAAGAAGATAATGGGGATGGGTAATTGGGTTGATTGTTTGATGTTTAAACATAATAATTATATTATTGTGGGGTGAAAACCCTATGTACTCACCAGGTGTCCCAACCTGACCCACTCAGTTCATTTATATCACAGGTGTAGATATGAAGTCACATTACACTGAGTGAATAAGGAGATATAAATCACTAGTGATAATAAATGTAAGTTCTGTTTATGTTTATGTTTATGTATTGACGATGACATCCCAAATGTTTTAAAATGAATAAAAATACTTTTCTTCGGAAATGCTTCGATAACATATTTATCATGTTTTACTGGGAACAAATTCCGCAACATTTTTATTAAAAGAAGTACTCTGATTTTTATAAAGCATAAACAAAATCGGTCTTTTCTGGCCGTGAAAAATGGGGATGTTGTTAGAACAAAGTTCAATTAGGATCGTTGGATTCTATGCAAGCAAACAATTAAGAACGTAATCAAGAACACAAGAATGGCTTTGAATATGTCATATGATTAAAACTTCAACACCTCAGAAGAGTTCGATTAAGAACTTCGACTGTAGAGGTGTTTAGGGTTACAAAACAATGAACGTGATAATCAACTCTTTCTAATGCATACATGCATGCATATTTATAGTATAACCCTAAGTAAGATAATCACGGATGGACAGGCCCAATCCGGATACAAAATATAAAGCCCATGACGCAACATAATTAGACTCAACAATCTCCCCCTTTGCGTCAATGGGACCGAAAGCTCACTTCGGCTGAGCTGCAGAAGACTTCTTTATTGTTTTGAACACCTTCGGAATGATAGCCAGCAAATGATGACGGAACGTTATGTACCACCGAAGCATGTCAGTAAAATTTTTCTTGTCAGCATCTGAGTTCAGCTTGCACCGATGAATAATGTTGATGATGTGCTCCAAGCAGTCAGTTGAAAATAAATGTTTATCAACAAGAGCGAATAAAAATCTGTGAGCTTCGCCTTTTGTAAACATCACAGTAAGATGTGTTGAATCTATTTGGCCCATCTTCATCTTATTCACATCTCCTGGTTTCGGTGTTGGCTTGATGGTCGGTTTCTTATTCATCATTTTCGCTATCTCCTGATCCATAGCTGCAACCTCATGGATGTAAGAAGCCAACATCCTCTTTAAGTGCTCCAAAATCGGTTCATATTCCCTCATATTTGTAAGCAGAATATTAAACAAAAGAATCCAGTCATGAGGGTTGAGGTTTAGAAGATCTGCCAGGGAAATAGTCGACACCGAGTTTGCAGATCCTCGAGTGATTTTGAAATTGACATTTACAAATTTCCCAGCAGACGTAGGTTTCAGTACCTTGACAGTGATTATCTTCTGTGCGCTCCATGTCAAGTACTGCGGTTGTCCATACTTCAGATAGAAATCAATAAGCTCTCGGTCAACCTTTGGATGAGGAAAAGGAACCTCAGCAGTCGAATCAAAACAGTGAAACGTGAACGCCTTTCTTGTTATCGGCATGTCGAACTGCGAGTCCTTAGAATTATCACAGTCAAACGAAGCAACAGGTTCCAACCAATAAACACTTGGAAACTCTATAGCTTGATTGATAAGTGCCTCTTTAGTCCATAGGGGAAACAAGGCCTTCTTGCAGTTCAAGGCTTCTTCTTCTTCCTTGTTTCTCCTCTCCCTCTCCTCTGCTTCCCTTGCAATCTTCAAGGTTTCATCAAGCTCTTTATCTCTCCTCTTTCGCTTAAGAGCCTCAGCAATAGTTTCACCAGATTCGTCACTGCTATCATCACCAATCTCCTTTTGCTTGGCTTGTGAACCAGAACCTGAAGCTACATTATCCTTCAGTTTGGTTGTAACTTTGACCTTCGGGTGAGCAGTTTCGGTTTCAGTCTTAACCTTCGGTTGATGAACACCCTCTCCCCCTTGTTTTGGAGCAACAAATTTCTCCGAAACACCCTTCATCTCGTGTAACAATGCAAGGGCAGGAAGAAGTTTGGTTGTAAGATGATTTCGAATGGTCAAAGTGAGGATAGGATCATGTGCACCAAGAATGTTGGTCAGCATGTCCTTGACATCCCCTGCACAGCTGCGAAAAACAGCTCTTTCGGTCTTCAACAAAGAAATCTATTTTTCTGCTTGTGCGAGCTGCACTTTCTGAAGTTCAATTGTGGTGTAGAAGTAACTGGGGGTTCTGTTTTAGTAGGCGCCCCCGTATCAGATACGTTGACTCTTACTGTCGGTTCAGGAATAATGGTTGTAGTGGATTGGGAAATTATCGGGGGTGGTAAGGGAGTGGTAGAAATAGGAACAGAAGAAACAGGTGGTGGTGGTGGAAAAGTAGTTGTTGTTCGAGATGTGGTAGGTGGGGGAATAGGAGCAACCGAAACTGGAACTGTCTGTTTCGGTGATGGATGTGGTGTTGGAATTTTGTTATGAGGAGATTCGGTTGGATTAGGAGAGCGGGGAGGAGTGTTACCTCTCGGTGAGTCATGATGAATTTCTTCTTCTTCATCTTCCTCATCATGTTCTGAACTGGGAGGAGTAGGACTCTTGGATCTTCTTGCCATCTTTTTAACCTTCTTCGGTTTAGAAGAATCCCCTTTGTCAGATTTTCGCTTCTTTCACTTGGCAGTCTTAGACTGATCAACCTCTGTTGGCTCTTTCGGCGTAGTGGTCCGTTTCCCTCGGTTACTAGGCTTGTCCAGAGCATCAAGGACAGCCTGCTGCTCAGAAGATAGGACTCTCGGTTCAGTTGGAGGAAATTTGCGATATTCAGCAAAGAGGTTACTCTATGTTGTGACACACCGGTACATTGTCTATGGGATAGAGCCAATGTGAGGGAATTTCTTAGGATCAGAAATTATGATCTTCTTGGTGTGAAACGTAGCAATAGACGCAACTAGGGCATCCTTCATTACTGGAATTTCCAAAGAATTAATCGCCCTTCATGTAATGATAGTCCAGAATCGTGCACACGAGATTTCAGAATGCCTCGTTGATGTGTTGAGGCTTTGAACCACTTGAGACCAGATAATACTTCCGTAATCGAGATTGAGACCATTGTAAAGGTCATAGAGAAGGGTCAGAAAACCCTTGCTGGTGCCATTAGATCCAGCACTTCGCTCCTCCAAACTCTTGATGAGAAGAGTAAGCATTCCATTCCATGGGGACGGTAAGCAAGACTTCTTGACCTTCGTGATCGTGGTAAGCACGTCAGTGTATCCCATGTCGTATAGCATCGAGAAAAGTTGAGGAGTGGTGATGAAGTCTGGTGAAATTACATACGAATCCACAGCTAGGTGCAAAAGGGAACAAAATCTCCCTTTTGACATAGACGCCTTATGAGAATGGATTTGGAAGTAGATTCGTTCCTTGTTTTTGTCATAAGAGGCAGTCGAGTAAACCTGTGATAAAAGTGACATAGGGACGGCTTCCACCTGTGTTAGGGCTATAACCAATGGTGAATATTTCAAACACTCAACCACGTGTAGCATATACGAGTCGTACAAAAACGGATTGAGTTCAATAATCAAGTTCTGATTAGGCTTGATCAAAAGCAATGTGGACGAAGCAATTTGATCGTGAACTGATGAAGAAGTCGCCATTTTTGATCGAAGGAAGAAGATGAACAGTTTGAACTTGCCTGGTAATTTGAGAGAATTTGTTGCTGGTAAAAGACAAATAAAATTAGAAACCCTTTATATACCATTGCTAGGAGAGAGAAAAATCATTATGATAATGACGTGATCACTAAAACGTCGCATGAAAAAGCGCGATGTTACAGGTTGGTTACTCCCAGGTATACGTCAGCACGCGTGGGTATAGAGACCGTTCAAATTCACACACCCAAATTCTTATCTCAATCGTCGTTTGAAATTCAGTTTCGCTCCACGCATTAGAATTACCCCTGTTTCCCAAAAGATAAACAAAAATCGAACCAACAGCAACCAGAATGTTGGAAAATTAAAATTTTCGTGCAATAGAGTGACAAAAGATAAAGAAATAAAGCAAATGTGTATTGGATGTGAGTGATGTCTTATTATAAGACAGAAAGCAGGTGATTCTGGGCAAGAATCGCTTCCTTCGAAGTTAAGAGAGACTTGAAGTGCTTGTGTGGGTTCCCGTGAAATAACGATCAAATGTTTGTAGAGAAACATTGAAAGGCTTCTTTTTAAGTCATAAGCTTAAGGTGGCTTATCTTCAACGGAACGTCGATTCTTAACATAAGACCGAGCATTGGAAGAAGTACTTGTGAGACCGATGTGGTCTGTTGAACAAGTAGGTAGGATATATTTTATAGTGACTAAAGAAGTTATAGAAATCTGAAAAACAAAAATAAGCTGGATCTTTATGGGAAGAAAAGGCCTTGGTGTTAGACAAATTCGTAAAAGATCACTCAAAAATAAAAATGAGATTTCATTAGGTAACCAGTAAGATCTTGAATATTACAATTCACCGTCAATTCGTTGTTGGTGTTGGATTGTGGCTTTCACTCAGTACGTGGTATACGTATCTAAGATCACAAACACAGATTTTGTGCAACCATAAACCTCGGTGGTAAGGACCGAGAGTCTCAAGGGTTACAGTGGTGAACCGAAAGTAGATGGAGAATATAAGGAAGGTGGTTTAAAGAATCGAAAGTACCTTCTGCTAAATAAATATGACAAAGCAGAAAACTCTTAACTCAACTGAGAAGAGTAAGGTAGCTCTTGACTTGAATTTATTGAAACAGCCTGATTGGGAAGAAACGATAGGTATAGATCGAATCATTAAGGCCTAGCTCGAAGTCATAGAGGCTTTAGTCAACATGCAGCAGCATGCTTCTAGGGACCCTTAACTAGTTCATATAAGAATGATCATACCTGCCTCAGCTCCAAATTCTATTGTAATGGTATACTTGGAACCTATGTAAAATAACAAGCAAACAAACACACCACGCAAACAAAACAAACAGACAAAAACAAAAAAAAAAAATTTATGTTTTGAGCTTTTCTGAAAAATGGTAAAAACAGAAAGATAAAATATTTTTGGATTTTTGAAGTTTTCTGAAAAAGAATAAAAACAAAAAAATAAAATATTTTTGGATTTTTGAAGTTTTCTGAAAAAGAATAAAAACAGAAAAATAAAATATTTTTGGATTTTTGAAGTTTTCTGAAAAAGAATAAAAACAGAAAAGAAATTGAATTAGCATAAAACACGCTTTGAACAAAATGTACAACCGAAACCTTATCTTAAAAGAATGAAGCGAAATAGACCCGGTCGGTTCATTTCGGTTCCTTAAAATTCCAGAGCCGAAATAGACCGAGCCGTCGGTTCATTTCGCTTCCCGAAAATTATGAAGCCGAAATAGACAGAGCGGTCGGTTCATTTCGGTTCCTTAAAATTCCAGAGCCGAAATAGACCGAGCGTTCGGTTCATTTCGGTTCCCGAAAATTATGGACCCAAAATAGACCGAGCGTTCGCTCCATTTCATTTGTCTAATTTTTAGTGAGAGATTTAAGGATTCGGTACCGACTCTGCTTCCATCATTCCTAGGCCTTGTAAAATTTTATTGAAACTCGCTTCAGGTAAGGCTTTAGTGAATATGTCAGCCAGTTGATCAGAGGATCGAACAAAATGCACTTCTACGTTCCCATCTTCTACATGATCCTTGATGAAATGATATCTAAGTGCAATGTGCTTAGTCTTTGAGTGTTGTACTGGATTGTGACAAATCCTTATTGCACTTTCTGAGTCACAATAGAGAGGAATCTTCTTCATACTCATCCCATAATCTCTTAGTTGACTTTGAATCCATATGACTTGAGAAGTACAAGATGCTGCAGCTATGTACTCAGCTTCGGCTCTTGAAAGTGACACGTATGTTTGCTTCTTGGACTACCAGCTAACAAGTTTCCCGTCGAGAAACTGGCATCCACCTGTAGTGCTCTTTCGGTCCAGACAACATCCTCCAAGATCAGCATCAGAAAAGGCTTGAATGAAGAATCCAGATCTAGCAGGATACCAGAGACCGAGAGATGAGGTTCGCTTTAGGTAACGGAAGATATTTTTCACTGCCACCATGTGAGGTTCTCTTGGATTAGCTTGAAACCTGGCACCATAACAAACAAAAAACATAATGTCCGGTCTACTAGCTGTTAGATACATGAGGGACCCTATCATTTGTCAATAAAGTGTTATGTCAACAGTAGGTTTTTCCAGAGAAGGTGTTAACTTGGTGCCAAATGCCATAGGAACCTTCACTTTTGAGTCTCCTGTCATGCCAAATTTTGTTAGCAGGTTCTTTGTATACGCCTCCTGGTTAATAAAGATACCTTCTGGTCCCTGTCTAATATTCAAACCAAGAAAAAAATTAATCGGACCCATTGCGCTCATTTCAAATTTAGTCTCCATCAACTTCCTGAATTCAGCCGTTAAGCTAGGATTCGTGGAGCCGAAGATGATGTCATCGACATAAATTTAAACTATCATAAGATGTTCGCCTTCTTTCTTTCGGAAGAACGTTGGGTCAACCGACCCTTGCTTAAATTTTGACATTTTCAGAAAGCGAGTTAAAGTTTCATACCAGGCTCTCGGTGCTTGCTTCAAACCATATACCGCTTTATCCAGCACATAGCAATGATCAGGGAATTTCTCGTTCACGAACCCGGGAGGTTGCTCAACATACACTGTTTCTTCTAGTTCTCCATTCAAGAAAGCGCATTTGACATCCATTTGGAAAACTTCGAAGTTTTTGTGAGCAGCATATGCGAGGAAGATTCTAACTGATTCCAACCTGGCTACTGGAGCGAAGGTTTCCTCATAATCTATTCCTTCCTCTTAGCAATAACCTTTAACCACCAACCGGGCCTTGTTTCTAATGACATTCCCTTCTTTGTCCAATTTATTCCTGAATACCCATTTTCAATCCAACCTCTGAAGCATCCTTTGGTGTGGGAATCAGCCTCCAAACTCGATTTCTTTCGAACTCATGAAGCTCATCTTGCATTGCTTGAACCCAATCAGAATGATCAAGTGCAACATTAACTGTTTTTGGTTCGACTTTGGAGACAAACGAATTGAACATACAAAATTCAACTTTAGAGAATAATGCAGTTTGTTTCGCTTTCAATTGAGAACGAGTTAGGAATTTCTCAGATGATTCACCAATGATATGTGCTTTGGGATGATCCTTGGTCCATTTCACTAATGGAGGATAATTTGGGTCATAGGCTGGATCCAACTCTGCATTTACTTCTTCTTCAAGTTCTGATTGATCACCTTCGTCAGTTGTAGTTTCTTTCTCCGCCTCGACTGGTGAAGTGTAACCTGTATCAAGATCAAAGTTGTCATTCTTTGTGGAAGTCGGACTCTCCCCCTCAATTGGACTCTTACGGGGTGGGTTTGGAGCTATATGGTCACCCTCGCTTGGATCTTTATGAGTTGGGGATGGAATAGGATTCTCCCCCTCGAAAGACATTTCGGTTGTCTTTGGTGCTGAAGAACTCTCCCCCTTGAATATTGAGCCGTTGATGGGAGAGTCAGTTGAGGATTGACCACCTGTAGTTTTAGGAGGTTCACTTTCCATTTCTTTGGCAGCTTCATCTATGATCTTTTTGAGATTATCAATTTAGTTATCTGCTGCTTTTGCCTCTGAGTGTGCCGCTTTCTCTGGTTCAACGAATAACCGAATGTATTCTTCGAACAAGTTGGATATGGGAACCGAGACTTGCCCTGATGTAGGAAAATTTTCCCCAAAGTCGCTTTCGGTCCTTTGAACTTTCTTCATGTAATTATCGTCAAAGGTTACATAATATGTTTCTTCAATTCGTTTGGAGCGTTTGTTCAACACTCTGTACGCTTTTGAAGTCAGTGAATAACCAATAAAAATTCCTTCATCTGCTTTGACGTCCAACTTGTTTCGGTTCTCCTTTGAATTAAAGATGAAGCACCTTGAACCGAACACGTGGAAAAATTTGACGTTGGGCTTTCGATTGTTTATGATCTCGTATGGAGTGATTGAGAATCTCTTGTTGAGCAAGGATCGGTTCTGAGTGTAGCACGCTGCTGCAACTGCATCAGCCCAGAAGTATAACGGAAGAGAAGCGAAACTGAGTGTAGCACGCCGCCTCACACAAAGAACGGTTTCGTCTTTCAACAATCCCATCCTGTTGTGGTGTATAAGGGGCCGAAAAATTGTGAGTTATCCCTTTGTCAGCCAGAAAGTCCTCAAAATCGTTATTCTTGAATTCCAGACCGTTTTCACTTCTGATATTCCTCACCATCTTTCTCAGCTGCACTTCCACTTGCTTGATAAAGGTCTTCAACTTGGGAGTCGCAACTGATTTCTGTTTAAGAAAGAAAACCCAGGTGAAGCGCAAAAAATCGTCTACAATAACAAGGATGTACTTACTACCACCGATGCTCTCGATAGCCGAAGGTCCACATAAGTCAATGTGCAACAGTTCAAGAGCTTCAACAATCTTTGTATTGATTCGTGTAGGGTGGCTCTTTCTGCTTTGTTTGCCCAACTCACACGCTGCACACAGATGACCCTTGTCAAACTTGAGAAGAGGAAGGCCTCGAACGTGATCACCAAGCACCAACTTATTAATGTCTTTAAAGTTCAGGTGCGATAATCGTCGATGCCACAACCAGCTTTCATCAGTGTTCGCCTTTGACAGCAGACATATAGCTGGTTTTCCTCGTATTGGGATGAGATTCAAAGGATACATCTCTCCCTTTCGTTCAGACTTTAGCAGAACCTTTTTCGATTGCTTTTCAATTATTTCAGAGCCCTCATCATCAAATGATACTTTCAGACCTGTTCCCACAACTAATTGTGACACACTTATGAGGTTATGCTGCAATCCTTCCACATACGCCACTTTTCGAATCGAGAAATCTCCATTGGTTATCATACCATATCCCTTGATTGTTCCATAGGAGTTATTTCCATACTTTACACACCCACCATCTTTTAGGGACCGAAACTTCCTCAGCTCTTCCTTTCTTCCTGTCATGTGACGCGAGCAACCACTGTCAATATACCATTCATCATCGAACTGCTCGTCACTAATTACCTACAAATTCAAGCAGATTTAGGAACCCAAAGTTTCTTGGGTCCTGGTGAGTTTTTCATAGAAAAAGGAATTACAGTAGAAATATCAACCAAATATGTTCTTTTTACTAGAGTGGTTTGATCTTTTCTTTTAATGGTATACACCTTGATTTTAGTTTTATCTTGTTTAAGTTTTGGTGTATAAGTTGGTGTGTTGTTAGATAGTTTAGGAATTTTCTTTTGAATCCTGGGGTTAGCTGACTTTTTCTTATTTTGGAAATCAGATTTTGATTTGAGCTTTCCCTTTCCTTTGATATCCTTCACTGAATTTGTTTTGCTATGGGAGTTAGAAGGACCGAAACTCGACTTGGGACCGAAACTTGACTTTCGGTTCTGAGAACTCATGTTGGGACCGAAACTTGTCTTTCGGTTCAGAATGCCAGTTTGGGAACCGAAAGTAGATGTTCAGTTCTGTGATTTGGAATAGTAGGAATTTGGGCTAAAGTTTTCTTTTCCTTTCAGTTTTTCCTTTCCTTTATCCGTTGATTCTTTCTTAGGAGGTACGTAGTTGGGATTTTGAGATTCCCAGTGACGTTTTCGCTCATTCAGATTCTTTGCGTATCTTTGATTTCTTAAGCGTTTCTGTTCAGCTAACTCCTTCTGTGATTTGTGGATATTGAAACTCGCCTTTGGCTTCTCCTTTCGAGTTTCGTCTGTCCTAGTTGGAACTATCGGTTCTTTCTTTGGTTCTTCAGGGATTTCTTTAGATCCACTTGTGCTTGGTTTGTCGAAACTTGAGGGTTTGTTAATGGGTTCAGCCACATATCTTCCTTTAACCCTCCATGAAGTCTGCTCAGATAGGCCTACGGTCTCATCTGCGTTGTCAATAGGAGCAGACCAGAAGTAATCGTCGCATCCCTCAACATTGTCTTTGTCGACCAAGATTTTTAATTCTGCCGTTTGTCTAGCAGTGACCCCTGTAACTGCATATACCTGATTCGACACAGTTTGAACCTTTTGATAGACCATAGCTTTTTCTTTGAGTTTCTGTGTCTTGTCTTTTGACAAGCGAGCGAACTCAACCGAATTTTCAGATATGAGGGGCTTCTCATTCTCGGTTTCACTCTTCATGAACTCAGAGCAATCAACTTCGTCTTCTACTGAGATTTCACTCATCTCACTTTCCTCATCAAATTCAGACGTATTTTCTAAGTTCATTTTATTTCCTGAAGTTAATTTGGCATTAGCAAGTCAAATGATTGAATAGTGTCTGACTTAATTTTTAACCTATCATTTTCATCTAAGATATTTTTAAGCATACATTTGTGTTCCTTAGAATCAATGAAGGTTTCTATCTTGTCCAGTCCAATTTTGTAAGACATGGATGTCTCTTCTGATGATACCACTGATTCACATTCTGCTATGACCTCATCCTCCTTAAATTCAAGGAAGGGTAAAATCATCTTATGAATTTTCTTTCCTATCTCACAACTTAAATGCAATTGAGCAATATTAGAGTATAGACGCTTAGCAATTAAACAAAAAATGTTCCTTTGTTTTAAAAACTTTAAATTGTCTCTTTGCAAATAAATACTTTCATCCCTAGCTCTATTTAATTCCGCCTCCTTCAGCTCAATCCACATCCTTCTCTCCTCACTTTTTGAAGACACCCTGCTGAGTTGGTCAGTTAGGTTAGAATTCGCTAAGCGAGTTTGCATGAGACTACCACTTAAGTTAGAAAATTTGAATTTTAATTCTTTTAATTCTTCTTCATAATTTGTTTCTGGAACTTTAAGTGATTCAAGGATGGATTGTACCTTTTTGATCAGCCGATCGCAGTCGTTGATCTTCTAACTCACAGGCTTGGCTGCAAAACACTTGTCCTCGGTCAGGTTCAGTTCCCTACTTGCACCTTCGGTTGATGAACCAAGTGTGACCATTAAACACCTTCCAGCCGAACCTACTTCCTTTGCCACATAAACCCTTCCATGAGTGGGCTTTCTCACCTCTTCATCTTCAGAATCGGTTGACCAAACTTCAACGCCACCGAAATCATCTTCGCCTGTATTCTCCTGCACAATCAAGGCATTCATAGAACTATTGGTTGCCTTCTTTTTCTTGATCTCTTCCAACTTGTGCATGTAGTACGCCTCATCATCTTCACCATCTCTTTTCTCAGCCATTTTCCTCAGCATGCAATCTTTGGCAAAGTGGTTCTTGCCGTGACAGTAATTGCAGTCGAACCCAGAGTCTCCAGCAAGCTTGCTCTCCTTCTTGTCTTCATCCTTTTGAGAAGAGACTTTTGCTTCATCCTTCGCCTTCTCAGAACTGTAACTTCCCTACCAGTTTCGGTTCTTGTTGACAGGAAATTTTCTTCGTGCAAACTTCTTTAGATTGGTGACCATCAAAGCGTACTCCTCGCTTGTAAGGTCACACTCGGACATATCAGACTGTTCTTCCTCTTCTGCAATGCTTTTTCCTTTTGAAACAAGGGCCAGCGATCCCACACCAGAAACTACCTTCACTTCTTTAGTTACTACACTCTCATGGGACTTAAGTATTCGCACAAGTTTTGCTAGTGAGTAGGATTTAAACTGTTCATGCGCTTTCACGGTTGATGTTGGGTTTTGAGCATTCTAACACTCCTATGGTGTACATGCAACCCTATAAACCTTGGATCTATGTTTTCTCTATTATACATGCAAATATTAACTATTCCAAGGTTTCATCCTAACTAGCATATTATAAAGCACCTATACTACAAAGTTCTAGTTAGATGACATACCTTTTGATGTAGCTTGATGTCTTCAAGCTTTAAGAGCTTAGCCCCAATAGTGTGGAAGCCTCAAATGGAATCACAAATCACCAAAACACCTTGGAAGAACTTGAGAGAATATGTATGCACACTAAAATCGGCCCACTCTTATTTTCACACACTTGTGCCAATTTTGTGAGCCAAGGACCCCTTTATATATTATGGAGGATTAGGGTTACATCCATGTAAACCCTAATACCCATGACCTTTCATTTACATAGGATCCATGGGTTAAAAGTGATGGGTTTTATGTACAACAAATAAACTAGAAACAATTCCTAAGTTCACATGCAACCTACTTTGGATCTATGTTTTAACTATTGAACATACAACTTTGAATTGCAAAACAAGAACCCTAGAGGAGAGAGGCTAATTACGAAATTAACAAACTAGGGTTTAGGGTTTACATACCTTTCAATTGTTATAGCAAACAATTGATATTCCCTTGGTCTTGATCTTGATCTTCTTGGAAGTTTTAGCACCACAAGTGTAATGCCTCTAATGGAATCACACCCAAACTAGCAAGAAGGAAAGTAGAAGAGAGAGGGGAGAGGGAGTATGCAAAATCTCGGCCTTAGGGTTTCTTCAAAAGAAAGAGTGACCAAAAACATGAACCAGGAGGCTCCTTATATAGCTGAGGGATCTAGGGTTTAAGGGAAACCCTAGTTATCCTTTGCTTAGGGCCTAAGCAAACCCAAAGGCCTTATCCAAGCCCCTATGGACGAAATTATTAGGGTTTCCCCTAAAGATTTCGTCCACCCTCTTCCAAGGGGGTTCTAGAGCCTTCCACTCAACTATTAGATAATTGCAAACTAGTCCCTGCACCTTATAATTAATTCTTTTAACCCCAAAATCAATTCTGATTAATTTCTGGCTAACAATTAATTAAACATAATGATTTCTAATTAATATATTAATCCATTAACATATTAATAAATCATTTATATATATATTAATTTATTAATCTTATAAATTAATATCTCTCCTTTCATAATTTCCTTGTCCAGTTGCTAGGTTGAGGGCAACCCAAAAGGACTGTGCTGCTATCAATTCAAGTACATACCAATTATAGTTATGGGCTTAGACACCTAATCCAACAGTCTCCCACTTGGATAAGTCTGTAACTATAATTGCTAGTATGCCTTCTAAATTTGACCAGCAAATTGTAGCTTCCAAAAGCTGCTGCCGAACTCTGACCCAGTCAGTTACGTGTCCTAAGATAAGTGATCATATAATCCTTCGTTCTGCTAGATAATCCCAGACAAAAGACATGGAATGTAATCAATCTCTTTGTCCAGAATCTATGTTTCCCGATTCCTGATTTGTGATGATGTAGGACTTCTAATTGAACACATCAATTTAGTCCTGGCTGGGCCCAGCACATAAGTCAACACCAAATCATCGAGGGGCCCACAGATATCGCTTTTCCTGTTAGGGCAAAAGGAACGAATAAACGTTGACTCATATGCTTGTATCTTTTACTCATCAAATTATACATGACAATACGTTTTATAACACCAAGTTACTGATGCGTTTTCGTATCACCAATGCATAACCGACTTGTAAATTACAACTCATATATCTTCGTTTCAAGATTATAAGATATTATCGTCTCAGTATTACTCGTGATGAATTCCATGAAGTATACTCTGAGCGAGGGTTTATCCAATACTCAAATCTCAATTTCTGAGTACTCATGAACATTGCAGCAATTCTATTGCCATGTCTATCCTTAGACAATCTGCAATCCAATTCATGACAGTCTTAATTCACTACTTACTTCCAAGAGTACGAGCGACTGTGGAGTTTGAATAATCTCATTATTCAGGAAGTAAAACATGCAAAAATGAAACACAATAATAAACAATTGACAAAAGGTAGTAGCCAAACTTATAAATAATACTTTATTATTTAATCACCAAAAGTCAATTACATTTACTTTGTTACAAGTTTCAAAACTAATCTAACTACTAAAACTAATATCATCTTTCAGTCCTATGCTCCGAGCATGCTGAATATGCTTAGCCCTACTCAGACCCTTTGTGAGGGGATCTGCTGGGTTATCTTCAGATGACACCCTCTTTACTATAAGATGGCCTTCTTCAACTCTATGTCTGATGAAATGGTACTTTCTGTCGATATGTCTGGTCTTTACCATGATCTCTCGGTTCCTTTGTCAAGGCAACCGCTCCTTCATTATCGCAGAACAGTTCCATAGGCTCCTGGATGGTTGGAACAACTCCGAGATCCCCGATGAAGTTCCTCAACCAAGCTGCTTCTTTCGACGCTTCACTTGCTGCTATGTACTCTGATTCACAAGTAGAATCAGCCACCGTATTTTGCTTGGAACTCTTCCAAGTAACTGCTCCTCCATTCAGTAAAACACCCAGCCCGACTGAGAACGGAAGTTATCTCTATCCGTCTGAAAGCTGGCATCACTGTAACCATCTACTCTCAAAGTATCACTGCCACCAAGCACAAGGACCCAGTCCTTTGTCCTTCGCAAATACTTGAGTATATTCTTAACTGCTATCCAATGAGCTCTACCTGGGTTTCCCTGATAGCGACTGACCATGCTCAAAGCAAATGCCACATCAGGGCGAGTACATGTCATAGCGTACATGATCGATCCGACAGCGGAAGCATAAGGTACACGACTCATGTCATCTATTTCAACATCTGTACTCGGGCATTGAGTCTTACTCAATTTGGTATTGCTCTGGATAGGTAGCTCTCCCTTCTTGGAATTTTCCATACTAAACCTCTTTAGTACCTTATCCAAGTATGTGCTCTGACTAAGTCCAATTAGTCTCTTCTTTCTATCTCTCAATATTCTAATCCCAAGAATATAGGCAGCTTCTCCAAGGTCTTTCATGGCAAAACACTTTCCAAGCCAAGACTTAACTTCTTTCAAGGTTGGAACGTCGTTACCAATGAGTAATATGTCATCGACATACAACACCAGAAAAGTTACTATACTCCCACTAGCCTTGATATACACACAAAACTCATCTTCACTTCTAGAGAAACCAACTCTTTGACTTTCTCATGGAAGCAAAGATTCCAACTGCGAGATGCTTGTTTCAATCCATAAATGGATTTCTCAAGCTTGCACACTCTATTGGGGAACTTTGCATCAACAAAACCCTCTGGCTGACTCATGTAAACATCTTCAGCCAACTTCCCATTAAGGAAAGCAGTTTTGACATCCATCTGCCAGATTTCATAATCATGAAAGGCAGCTATGGCGAGCAATATCCTAATAGATTTAATCTTAGCCACTGGCGAGAAGGTCTCATCATAGTCAACCCCTGGGGTTTGAGTGAAACCTTTTGCAACCAGTCGAGCCTTGAATGTGTGCACATTTCCATCCATGTCTGTCTTCTTCTTGAAGATCCATTTGCACCCAACTGTCTTACGACCTGGTGCACTATCAACCAAATTCCAAACTTGGTTGTCATACATGGACTTAATCTCGCTGTCCATTGCCTCTTTCCACTTGGAAGCCTCTGGGCCTGCCATTGCTTCCTTATAAGTGACTGGTTCATCTAAGTTTACCAGTGTTCTGTCACTTATGAATGTGTCACCATCTGAAGTAATATGAAAACCATACAACTCAGGTGGCACACTCACCCTAGTGGATCTTCTAAGAGGTAATGAGTTATCAATTGGTTCAACAGGAACTGTTTCCTCTGGTTGAGTGCTAGTGTCATCTAAGGTTCCTTCATTGGCTGACTCTTGAATTTCTTCAAGGTCAATAGTGCTCCCACTGTCCTCTTTGAATATGAGCTCTCTTTCAAGAAAGACTCCTCTTCGTGCTACAAAGACCACGTTTCACTAGGCCTGTAGAACAAATATCCAAAAGACTGCTTTGGGTAACCAATGAAAACACATTTCTCACTTCTAGCTGCTAGCTTGTCGTGAGTCTCTCGTCTTACGAAAGCTTCACAACCCCAGACTTTAATATGTGCTAACGAGGGAACTTTCCCTGTCCACATTTCGTGAGGTGTTTTGGCAACCTTCTTTGTAGGGACAAGATTGAGGATGTGGGCGGCTGTCTCTAAGGCATACCCCCAGAAGTGAATGGAAGCGAAGCCCGACTCATCATAGAACGAACCATGTCTAACAAGGTTCGATTACGCCTCTCAGCTACACCATTTAACTGTGGTGTCCTAGGAGGAGTCAATTGTGAGACTATCCCACATTCTTTCAGATAGTCGTTAAACTCGATACTAAGATACTCCCCGCCTCTATCGGATCTAAGTATCTTTATCTTTCTGCCCAATTGATTTTCGACTTCATGCTTAAACTCTTTGAACTTTTCAAAAGTTTTCTGACTTATGCTTGATCAAGTAGATATATCCATATCTGCTATAATCGTCAGTGAAAGTCACATAGAATCGATTAGCATCTCTTGTAGTTGATCTGAAGGGCCCACACACATCTGTGTGTATGAGATCCAACAGACCTTCACCTCTTTCACAAGACCCTGTGAATGGTGATTTTGTCATCTTCCCAAAAGACAAGATTCACACATATCATCTGACTTTAGGTCAAATGATTCCAACACTCCATCCTTTTGGAGTTGGGCTATGCGTTTCTTGTTAATGTGTCCAAGACGACAATGCCACAAGCATGCCTTGTCTACACTATTAGACAAGTCAATATTAAGTACACTATTTCCTAGGCTATCAACACAAGTCACTGTTTCATACACACCATTACAAGGCAAAGCTTCAAACATAAAAACACCATTCTTATAAACAGAAATTGAACCATTCAAATCATTAAAGAATATGTAAACCTTGTCTGAACAATGCATGAAATGAAATAATGTTTCTCGTCATCTCAGACGAATAGCAACAATTTATTAAATCTAATCTAACATCATTACTAAGCAGAAGCTGATAAACTCCGATCTTGGTTACTGGTGAAGACTTTCTGTTTCCCATGATCAGGTTTATCCTTCCTCGCTCTATCTCCTCACTTTCCTTTAGACCCTGCAAATCAGAACAGATATGAAAACCACATCCTGTATCAAGGACCCATGAACGAGAAGATAATGAGTTATTAGCAGAAATAGTGTAAATACCTGCCGAAGATGGCTTCACTTTGCCATCCTTGATATCTTGCAGATATTGTGGGCAAGATCTCTTCCAATGCCCCTTTTTGGTTGCAGTAAAAGCAAACTGCCTCTTTTGGATCAGAAACATGGGGAGTGGAACCATTGGGCTTAGCCTTTGGGCCATTACTAGATGACCCAGCTTGAGCCTTGCTCTTCCAGTTTTGCTTGGGAGGACCTTTCCTCTTTTTCCCCTTTCCCTGTCCAATAGCCAAAACAGGGGCACTCGTAGGTGTGGAGGGTATACTTTTACCCTTCATCCCTGCCTCAGCTGTCTGCAACAAGTTGTGCAATTGGGCCAAGGTCTGCTCAGTATTGTTCAAATGGTAAGTTAGAATAAACTGACCATAACATTCAGGAAGTGAGTTCAAGACCATGTCAATGGCCAATTCCTCATCAAAGTGAATATTGAGCTTGACCAAACGCTCTATGTAGCGTTGCATTCTTTGCACATGTGACACAACCGACTCCCCATCTTTCATCTTGCAAGCCATGAGTGACTTGACTACTTCGAACTTTTCTTGACGAGCTCGCTTATGGTACTTTTCCATAAGGTCCTTGTTCATCTCGAAAGGCCAGTAGTCCTCATAGTACCTCTGCAGTTCTGGGGACATAGTTGCCACCATGATGCATGCCACTTTGGTAGCATCATCGTAATGTTTCTTGTAGGCAGCAAGATCTTCAGGAGTAGCTTCATTCTCATCAAGCTCTTTGAGCTCCTTTTCAAGAACATATTCTTTGTTCTCGAAACGAAGAGCCATCTTGATGTTGCGCATCCAATCGTTATAGTTTGAGCCATCCATAACGACTTTGGAGCAGATATTGAGCAAAGAGAAGTTTTGGTTGGAGGAGGACGAAGCAGAAGTGTTTCCAGGAGTAGACATCTGAAAAAAAAGTTTTAGTTAGATTTCAAGATACCTTAATAAAATAACCCAAAATATAATATCAAGGTTAGGATCCAACTATGAAGATTCACAACTTAGAAATGGGATGCCGAGATCCAAGTGCAAATTTCATAAAGGTAGTGAATGACGATTCACCAATTCCACCATTAGACGAAACAAACGAAGTGAAATTCCTAATTCTTTTGAGATACATTGAAACTATTCAATGGCATGTTTTAATCTCAGATTATGCTCTTCTATTTGTGACTGGGATGCCGAGGATCACAAACAAGATGTGAATAACCATGCAAATGTGCTTGGTAACCTCATTTCTTTATCATTAACTATTGATGTGCTGGTAAACCACACACGCTCCATCAAAATGACAATTATGAGATACCCATTACTACTCTTTATTAGTGCCTTTAGTGTGCTGGTTAACCACACACGCTCCACTAACGACCAATAAAGCATAATGTGCAATTTCATGGATTAGCATACTTTTCACATTTTCCTAAAGTAACTAGAGTTGGGATTTTTGAAAATAATGTTCTAGTACTTTTAATATCATTATACTTTTAATGAGAAGTAGTTGTCCTATCAAATCCGTTCTGCTAACGACCCTCCACTAATCAAGGAAGCGGTGGGTGAGAGTGGACACCCATTCAACTACCATTTTATAGGCAGTTTCCTTATACCCCCCTTATAGATTAGCTTCGTGAATGAGGCATACTAGCGATTGACTAAACTGACCATATTCTTATACATATAATAATTAAACTTAATTATAATATAGATATATAAAAGGTGTGTTTTAAAACTTTTTAAAACTTCAAGGGTTTTATAAATTTCGAAATTTAAGCTGTTAAATTCAAATTTAAATAAACCAATTAACTAGATTTAATATTTATCTATTAATTAACTATTATCAATTATTAAATCTTGTAAGGATTATCTAATAAATTAATCAATAATTTAATCCTAATCCTTATCCCTCTAATTTCGAAAAATAGGGTAAGGATAATTATCCAATTAATCTAATTAAGTAACATTATCCAAAAACAAGAAACCCTAGTTATCCTCTTAGCATATTTCGAAATTCATAAGGGAGGAGGCTAGGGTTTTCAAAACCTAACCCTAATTTCGATTAGGGTTCTTTGGAGGCTAGGTTTTCGAAAACCCTTGATCCAAAACCCAAGAAATCGAAAATTGGCCTTTAGGGTTTAATAGCTTATAAACCCTAATTTGCAATTCAACAATTGTAGCAATTCAATTTAAAACAACAATGGCTCTGATACCACTGATGGGGTTTATGTACAACAAATAAACTAGAAAACAATTCCTAAGTTCACATGCAACCTACTTTGGATCTATGTTTTAACTATTGAACATACAACTTTGAATTGCAAAACAAGAACCCTAAGAGGAGAGAGGCTATTAACAAATTAACAAACAAAAGGTTTTAGGGGTTACATACCTTCAATTGTTATAGCAAACAA